CACTTAGTATTATGCACCCAGTGAGAGGTAGAACGTGGACGGGACCTCACCTTTTTGGCTGGGGCTGCCGTACCTGTCCAATGAAATGCGAAGACCTCCCACCGTCGGGAGGAAGCCCCAGGTACCCCACTCCTACGTCCATTTAGCGTTTTTTACTCATAAACTGCCCCTCCACGTGTTTATTTGCTGGAGTGACCTATTTACGGGCCAGATGAAAGAAGCCAGGAGGTCCCCAAGCAGCTGACCTTGGGCGATTGAGCTTTTTCGGCCTCTGCTCATTGGCCATTCAGGTATGATTGAATCTGTTGTTTTTAGGAGCCATCCTGTATAGCTGGCTGGGTCATGGAAGCAAGCAAGCCATCAAACCACATCTAGGTGCAGTCTATTCGTGATGGCTCCCGTGGTGGAGACTCCGATGTTATGGCAACCGGTTGTTAGAAAGTGATATGGCTTAGTGTCGCAATCAGTGGCGTTCGTGCATCTACTCGTTATCATTGCAGCTCTAATTCATGTTAATTCTTTATCTTCTTCGACTCTTGCGAAACATTCCATTCTTCCCTCTGCTCTTCTATCCAAATGGGTAGCTAAAAGACAGCAACCAAAAGCGGCGTACCCTTCAATGAGAGGCAGCGCCGGAGTATAGAGCTTTCGAGTGGGTCGCATGCAGCTTTCACATCGTGATTGATAGAAATGGCAGGTCAACGAAAATGATTCGTGTCCTAAAATGTTATCGGTACAGCTTTGACTAATTCAGAAACCAGCCTATACAGTTCGTGTTTGACAGAAAGTGGACCCAGTTTGTTGTCAGCGAGAGTTTTAAACACCATGTTGGTCAAACCAATCCCTCTGTGGTTTTCACAAAAGGATCTGACACCTTGTGAATCGGCAAGATGACCGACCCATACCACTATGTCAGAACCTGTTCCCTTCCACATTGAGCCCAGGAGTCTCGTCAACTCCAAACCCATGACTGAACACCCTTCCGTAAAAACCGATGGGAACAGCCTATCTGGGTCGGAAGCCTTATACCTTTTGATATAATTTATTTCCCTGGAGACCTCCATTGCGCTAATCGGTCCTAGCTACTCTCTTCACTACAAGATGTTGGACTACCGTTGACAGATCCCGGTTCACCTATCCAATGATTCTAAATGTGACTTTCTTCCTGTAAATTCTGGGAAGCTTCAGGACACTATTTATACCCTTATTATTTTCTTCCATTTGCAACTTACTCATCGTGACAGAAGATTTCCTGACTAAACCTGCAGATGATGTCGAGTTCGATTTTAAGTTGAACGGAAGTTTTCAATCTNCCATTTCATCTTTTTTGGATTAATCGTCTTCCTCTTTGTCATCCGTAAATGCTTCTAAATCTGCTGGCTTCATATTTTCCCCTGTTAAAGTTGAATGCTTAGAAAAAGTATGATACAAGTGTTCAGAGTTGCGTATTGGTGATCAATGTGTCCCTCCAGTTTGCAATGTGACTTTAGTTCATCCCAACATCTTACGTGGTCTTCTCCTGTTTAAAAACAACTAAAAAATGAAGCAACTCCGTTCTTGTGCCAAAATAAGGATGTCTGCATTTTCTATTGCACACATTTACGTGATGAAATGCAGACGGGGTGAACCTCATAATCGCGAAGGAGATTTACTCAGTAATGGAGACCGGTAGCTAGCGCGAGTCCCGGGACGAGGAGTAGCGAACCACGTTAGGCCCCAATAACATATATATATATATATATATATATATATATAATATTTCCACACTCGTCTGAGGCCAGGCTGTGTGCCAAAAAACTCACAGTACACTAATCTCTGAAAAAAGAAAGAATATGATTTGCTAGAGACGCGATTGTTCTAGGCTGTCGAACGAAACGGGTGAATTTTTTTAAGAATTTCACAACCGGAGCCTGTGGCTAACCAAAGTTTGACCCACATAGCGAGGGGGTGGGGTGTGAAAACCGCAATTAATGGTGGGCCGGTGTTTGGTTCATCGTACCGTGCACCTTTTGGACGGGGTCAAACGCCCGGGATGCCCAATACACCTCGATACCCAATCGAGCCGGTGATCACCACCATTACCAGGAATATGTGGTATGTACGCCTCCGCTTGGTTAGTTTAGAACTAGGGATTTTAGCCAATTTCCCTAGGTGCACTACCAGTGGTTCACCGATCCGGTTAGCCTCGGATGTTGACGTTTTATCCTTTCATTTTGGTGGGAAAACACCACCACGGGAAGACACTGAATGGGGCTTCTTCAGCTTCTGCTTTGGCCCGCGCAACCTCTCAGTATGGCGTCATCGAGCAAGTCATGGAACATTTTCTCCCAATAAAGATATTGTCATGATTTGTTTTGCGCACAGCTTGAACTCGGATGGCTGAGAAATGTATAATGTATATACGGTGAACCGGTTGGAGTCTGAAAACGTCAAACTCAACGTTTTATTATGGATGATTTAACAAATTTAAAGTTTATCATACCCCATAGGATTTTTACAGAATCTTTTGAATAACTTTACAAAGAGAAACTAACAATGATAATAATGTGCGTGATTACTCACGGATTTTGAAATTTTGAGTGTTCCAATGCTTTATCAAGTTGCGATTTAAATAGTTCAACTGTAAGAGCACACACTATATCAGATGGAAGAGAATTCCATACGCCGCACCCTGACTGAAAACGAGTGATGCCGACAATCAATGTGGCTGTTCTGGGTCTTCATCTTTAGTGGATGTCCCCTGAGGTGATGAGATAATCGGAAGGTCACCATTGTTGTATCTTACACTGATACTAAGTCTCTCCAGTGCGTCGTGTGCACTCGTCTACGGGGCTCGTAAAGTCGTTCCAGTACCTTAACTTCCTTCGAGAGCAAGCTACTCACACTTCCGTTTGTTGATAATCTGTTGGAATTTACCACAATCCTGAATGTCAAGATTGAACATGTTCAAAAATCGTTGGTGTCGGAGTACAACAACCCCATTCATTCGCCTTCACTTTATTCATAGTCTGTATGTATATGATGTCCAAGTGGTTTGAAGTTGTTTCCACTGGCATTTTGGTTCAAATCCAAATGCATTGGTGGGTGAGTATGATTTCTTTCATAATGACTTTTTCACTTTTCTTCGCTAAGTTAATACTTGTGTCGTGACCCCGTTGCTAGTCCTCAAAACTGACCTGGGGGTTACTTTTTGGAGAAGGTCAAAGGTATTCGATTGTTTCTTTCTTAATCCAATTAACTCTTCAACAATATTTCTAGTGCATTCTTTTCTCGTTTTGCCTTTCTTTTCAGTGCGTTATGGAGAGCCGCTCTACCTGTTTTCCAGCGATTCAGCTCCGAGCAGTAGGTTTCAACTGCTTTTTGTTTGGCTTAATCGGGTGTTTTTGTCGCAGTGATTGATTTGAAAATTGATGAACCCTGTTCTTGGAACGTCTACTGTGTCGTATCTGTAAAGATTGTTATGCTGATAATTAATCACGAAGGTACTTATGTGTCCTATGAAACCCTCAAATACGAAGTGGATTTTTATAGCTTTCCAGTTTTCGATTAAAAAGGTGTTTTGGAGCTAGAGTCACGGAGTTTGTGGGCAACTGACTTCTGTGTGTCCGTCTAGCAGATGGGAAATCAGCGAAAACTGAGATAATCTCAATAGAAGGGAACTCAAGAAGTGACTGCTCAATGTCACAGCATTGACTGCCAGATAACCTGAAAGCGAGATAATTAATTATGCACATGACCTTTTATGGAACCGTATGAACGAGATAACTAGCATGGAACAAAATATATGATAAAAGCTGCTTGCATTCTCATCACAAGGATAGTACTTGAGATCCACACGCACACCCTCGTATACGTAAGCAAAGGCAGTCGATATGATTTTAACCTGTTTTGGTGGTCAGGTCACCATCCTTCCCCAAAGCCAAACCTATTGCTGTCTCCATGTTAGTAGCATTGTGAACTAGCATAATTTGATCCCGTAGAGAAGAATAAGTAATTGTATTTCTTTTTAAAAAATGAGTTCTGTGTTCATCATTATATAACTTCGGTTATATGCGAATTTTGTTGAGAGACGAGTTTTCGTTTGATGCTAAAGCTTCCTTTAACTACATATACGTTTTTGTACCTGTTTGTTGACTGCTGCTCTGGTACAATGCCTGGAAGGATAGATGCCCAAGTCAGGCTCGTGCTCAGCCATGGCATTTGATGCTGGTTCAGCGGTTTAAGCCATTCTCATATATCCATCAGTCTCTAAAGTTCGTTTAGTGCAGTACCGTGCCCATCGAATTTAGGCCTTGTGTTCCCCGGTTCCTTAAGTCTCAGTGCCCAATTTTTCCGTTGGCATACTTCAGTAATAGTCGATGTCCATATACTTGGCTTTTACTTCCAGAATTTCTCATCTCATCGTTGTGTTTAAAAAGGAGTTGAAGATTTCGTTGCAATTACTACGGTGTTCACATACCTTCGTCAAAACAATTGCGAAAATTGGGAACAAAATTTTTTTTATTGGTAATCATTTTGTGAGGTTTTGTAATCAAAATGTGAATCGCTAGCGTTTTGAAGCTTCATTTACACAATTCCTAATATTGCTACATGTTTCTACACGAAGTTCAGACCTAAAACTGTCCATTACACACTGTCCTTGAAGTCGCTTGTCGGCTCGGAAGTTGTATGACCGGGTGTTTTGTTGATAAACAAAGTCGGGTGATGCTTTTGATTTTCATTCTTTTGGTTTGGGTACAATAGAACATGTATTATGAGTTTCAAGATTGATTTTGTTGCCACACCCAAATCAGTACTTATCCTTACCACACTTACGCTTTTTTTAATTTCACACAAGTTTTATACGGAGTATTTTGTTCACCACTCTAATTTGGACAAAAAACGCAATGCTGTTCTTTTCTTTTAACAGTCCCATTGGAAATCAAACGGCATTCACAACAAAAGCAGCTAATTCTGGTAATTCCTCTTCCCAAGTGCCATCTGGAAGCTCGATACCAGAAATGAATCCTAAGATTTATGATGGAAGCTCAAAATCAGCTTCAGCTGTTGCGAGCGCTAAGGGCAAGCCAAGCACTCCTGTCGTCCGACAGTCCTCTACCTCAACTCCAACAGCAGTCACGAAACCTATTCCTACGGACTCGGTTACTTCATGCACCGTTACTCTGCAACCGATCACCAACATTGAAAGTGAACTGAGCATTCTTACAACCAACCATCAGACATCGACAACCAACACTGTACCATCGACCCCCCCTGTATCTAGCGCTTCTGTAACCGTTAATTTGCAACAGGCAATACGTTCCATGCTGGAATCAAAGTCAGGAAAACCACCAGCACACACGGAACGTGCAACCCCACATTGTTCTCATGCTGAACCGTCACAGGGCCTACCCGGAGGGTCCCCACCTTGCATACAAAGCTCAGTGCAAATCAAATCATCCACACCTGCACCAAGTACCAATGTGGCCATGGTCTCTCCCTCTAAACCCTCCAGTGCCAAGCCATCCTCCCTGGTACAGCCTGTTAACGCTAGCGTCTCACGCTCTACGTTAGCTCAGTTATCAGCAGTTTTAACGCAAACAAATCGCACCGCAAGTACAACGGTCGGTGGAAATCATTCAGCATTGATCCGGTCTACCGATGCAGCCCATTTACATTCAACTGTCCCTAGTAGTAACTTGCCATCCAATGGACCGGATACAAGTACAATACGCCCGATGAACCGTGAACAACCTCGGTCTGTGGGCCTTGGAGTTCCTGAAAAGTATGTTTTTTGCGCACTGTTTATTTACCTTCACCCCTTTTCGGTTCCTTCGCTATATTCACCATTTCACTCTCGTTGTACTTACTTTTATTGAACATACAAAGATAGGATTTTCAAAAAGGGGGTAGGCGGCCAATCAAATGGCTGCCATTCAACACACAATGGGTAAAGCCAGACGGTGGTGGTGGGATTCGAACACATCCCCGGGGTAATAATTTGGTGTCGTTACCACCGCCTATGTGTTACATCAATTTCAACATTGATAGACACCTGCGAGTCACTATATCACTTGAATAGCCTAACTGTTGCTGGTTGTTTTCTATCAAGTTACTAGAAATATACAGTAGTAGCATGTCCTGCAAACGGATGCCATCTGTGTTTTTCTGTCTGTAGTTCCGTCCGCATTACTGCTGTTCGAAGACAAACGGCTCCAGTGGTGTTTAATCGAGGACCCAGATCAACCCAACCAGCTACTCTCAACATTACTACTTCAGTGGCACAGCGAACTGAGTCGCAACATTCTCCGACTGTAGCGGGTGTTTCTGTGACCGGTGCATACGACAAACAGGTCCGTCAGCAGTTACTCTACCAGTCTGCTGCCGTTGCACTCTCCGCTGCTCAAATAGATCAGTTGCAACAACGCGCAGTGTCGACCAGCGCCCGCCCAAACCCTTCAGTTAATTGCAATTCATGGCTCGCTGCAACGGCTCTTCTTCTTCAGAGACCTCAACCACCCCCAGCTCATCAGCAGATCCCTACAACTACCTCCTATCAACTGTCCCGTGAGTCGGGTGCACCGAATAGCACGCCTAATACACACTCAGGAAACCAATCGACCAAAGGTGTCGCGTCTTCATCTCCACGAACCGTAAATCCGGCTTTCACAAATCCCGGTTAGTAGATAATATATTATTATTACTTTGTTTTCTACTACTCATTAATCGGTATTCGAGTATCCTTTGAGTTCCGTTTCATTTACATTTTATGCACCACCTGCGAAGTTGTCTTGCCCTAAAACAAATTTATGCTTTCTGCTGCCAAATTATTTCGATTGAAGCGTTGATGACCCTTTCTGGTTTTCCATCTTTCATTTCATTTTGGATTATAAGTTTCGCTGGTTAGCCGAAAGCCCCGGATGTAAGGTTCCAGAAAAATCACCTATGTTAATGCATTCAGCCTTGCGGTATTCCATCCACGAATCGGATTGAATTGGTCGTTATGCATATGGTTTGTTAAGCACGGCGTAGACCCGGTTGAAAGCGGGAATTGATAGAAAACCGTGCAATATATCAGTTGCTAAGAGCAATATGATCATCTTGAAGAGTGAATCAACCATGCTTGGCTTTCTTTTCGCTCCATGCTTTTTCCCTTCAAATGTAACGTTAGAAAGCGAAACATATTACTGGACATTCATGCAATAGACTGTTATCCGTGCTCAATCCACGTATAGTTGGATTCATATTGTGTGCCGAGCAAACCCTGATGCAAGAATCTCTCTGTTGGTTCAATCTTTTCATCATTTTCTCGAGGGAGTAACACTATCAGGTTGTCCAAATAAACAAGTCATTTTGAGTATTCACAATCAGCGCTTTTGTCTCACATAATCTACCGGCCGTTAATATTCAGGATGGCGCAGTTACATGCTCATGTCAGTCTTTAGTGAGCACTTTGCATTTCGGAGGCGCAAGGCATACTATGATAGACAGATGTTCCAGCAGTAGTTGTACCGCATGTTTTCCGAAAACATAGCGACATCATCGTTTTAAGATCTGTAGGAAGATTGTCTGTTGGAATTTGACATACTTCTCTGGTACACTGTCTCTGAGGAGATATCCTCACATAACAGTCCTGTCGAGGAAAGACGACGGCTTTTGTTGGTTTCCGGCAGATCTGAAGGTGTTACAGTATCCGACAAAGAGAGGAGATTAGATTTATATAGCCACCGCCTTGAAGGAGCTCACTGTTCGCTTCTCTTAGCTGTTTCTCTCCTTTCGGTACCTATTTCTGAGGATAATTGATAGCAACGTTTGACGCAATGCGAATTAAGCAGATTCCGCTTTAAATAACACAAGCTGACAATTTTCGCAAATCACTATATATTTGTCATTTTCGAAAAGAATACGGGAGCAGTGTGCAAGATCGTTACTGTCGGGTACTACGAAGCTTCTTGTATCCGTTACCGTTTAGTCTGTGGCTTTTGAATAGTAATGTGTTCTTCAGGGAAGTTTTCTTCGCTTGTGGATTGTTACAAATATCTTTTCGGGAACAGTCCCGCTCGAACGTAATAAATTTCCTATTACTGTAATATCTTAATCAGAGTAATTCTGACATTTTGATCCTAATGGTTACATCTCGCACTGCCATCGCAATATACTCGAAATAATTAAATAATGTTTTCATATCATCCGAGATGACTATCAGCCCATTATTGATGGCATTCTGCGGATATACTTGAGCGGTATGGTCAATCATCGGGTATGCATTGTTCACGCATTTCCCCTTCTTGATTCTTTCACGCATTTCAATAGATTCCTATCTGACGACTCAACCAGACTGAGACAACCAGTCACCTCAATTCGAACAAAGTTCCAGTTGTCAGATAGTCATGTATGTTGTAGTTTCTGCCTAGTTAAATGACGTCTGTGTAGTTTCTTTTTCATTTAAAATCCCAAGGTCCTTTTCTTTGATTAAAAGTAGAAAACGCAGGACGTAAAATATTGTCAGCCCCGCCGTGAGGATAACACCTAGTAACCTTGTACTGGTATCTTCCAATACTAAAACTAAGCATCACTACTTTTCGTTAAAGGCCACTTGAGTACTTGCCTTTCAGAGCTAATTTGTATTGGTTGACCACTTCCCATAATTATTGTATTTACCTTTTGATGAAATTTTCGGTGGCTTTACCACTGCAAATAATCCTGTGTGCGTTTAATTGAATAATCCACGATATTTACGTTTCAATTGTACCTTCCCTTTCAGGTTCTGGAGCTCAACAGTAACAATTCAGGGCCCATTATCAATTACAGATGCATTTATTTCTAGCTATACTACGTATCTTTTGTCTTTAGGTTCGCGTTTCGACTCCATATTAAAGCTGGTTTTATCGCTGTGCACCTTTTCTTCCCTTCCGTCGAATTGACAGGTCCCAAGTTTTTTACATAATTCCCTGTCCCTGCTTGTACCTATCTGTGCACAACGACTTCCTCCTCTGTGTACGATGTACTTTTGTACCTTAAAACGTACCGGTGTTTTCCTTCCAAGGAATATTTTCGCAGTGTATTTCTGCTATAATTCCTAAATTATAATAAAGACAATTGATCGGAATGGAAAATCTATTGATTTCGAAAAGCTCTCAGTGATTTCATAATGGATTCTTCATGATGTTTCATCGCTTTCCCATCGATAAACCTTTCTGTCAGTCAGCCTTTTTGAAGAGATTTATACATTACTGATTGTATGCAAACCAGTGATTTATTTATGTTCCAGAAAATCCCTTTCAATCTCGGCCGTGAGATTGAATGTCTCTCCATCGTCCGAACATCGACACGTGTGCTCGAAAAACCGATATATAATAAACTCGTTTTCGAATAGCAACCACGTTGATTCATCGTTACTTTTGCATTGGATAACAGTCTGTAATGACGACTGAGCGCTCGGTTAGATTCGATTACTTTCTATTTTAGTCTTGTAGAAATCTCTTTCCGATCTGTCTAGTTCTTCCTTTCAATCCGGAATAATCCTGGACGCATCCTGTTTATGTCACCCATCGAATATCACTCAGCGTTTTACCAGCAAGCTCAAACAGCCGGACGTTACAGGATTTTTGAAGCTGAATTTCGGTTTTCACTAGGTCGCGTTCAATATCCGCACATCATCAGATTGATCAACAGACTGTCCTAGCTAGATTCCGTGAAAATTTCAATCTAGATGTATGCTGGGTCTCAGAAACACGCATACAAGACCCTACTTCAATTATCTCCCTGCGTTCTTCCAACCCAACCTCATCCTCACGCTTTACCTTCCGTGTGTCAGACGATTCGGCATCCGAAACTCGCAGTGTTGATGGTGTCGGAATCGCGCTGAGTGTCAAGACCGACCGTTCGCTTCTCGACTGGATTCCGATTAGTAGCCAACTTTGCGCTGTGCGTCTGGATAGTTCAGCCCCGCTGTCGCCCGGCTCACTACCACGCTCAACCTATTGAGGCCTTATGTGATTTACCACTCCAAGTCG